CTAATTTTGGTCTTGAATTATTTGTGGAAGTCCAGAGAAGGCTTAAAAGGTAGATAAATATGAAAATGCTCGGAATTAAATAAAAAAAAAACAATTTTGTTTTTCCTTTGATGTGTCCCCCGTCGGACGGATTCCTTTTGTTTGTTTTATGTTTATTTTATACAAAAGTTTAGGCCTCTTATTTATCGATTGAGGCACTACGAAGTCTGCCGGGTCAGCTAGTCTATACTAATATTATAAAGAGGAAAGATTTGTTTGTTTGTTTGTTTCGAATAGGCTCCGAAACTACTGGACCGATTTGAAAAATTCTTTTTCCATTAGAAGCCGACATTGTCCCTGATGAACATAGGCAACTTTTTTTTTTTTTTTGTTTCATGTGTGTTTTAATGTTTCCGAAGCGAAGCGAGGGCGGGTCGCTAGTTTATATATAAAAATGAATTGCTGTTCGTTAGTCTCGCTAAAACTCGAGAATGGCTGGACCGATTTGGCTAATTTTGATCTTGAATTATTTGTGAAAGTCCAGAGAAGATTTAAAAGGTAGATAAATATGAAAAAAGTTCGGAATTAAATAAAAATAACAATTTTGTTTTTCCTTTGATTTGTACCCCGTCGGATGGATTCCTTTTGTTTGTTTTAAGTTTATTTAATACTATACAAAAGTTTAGGTCTTTTATTTATCGATTGAGGCACTACGAAGTCTGCCGGGTCAGTTATACAGTACTAAATATTTTTGTTTCGGCTCCGAGAACAATTCCCTCGCATTCTATATGACGGAAATTAATTCAACATCTGTTTTATAAATCACAATAATTAGCTAAGGCTCGGTGAATTGTGAGGTAAATATTAAAAAGCTTAGGTATAACTAATATTGTTTCGTGACATTTCAACGAAAACTCTAAAGTATTGGAAACTTCAGTTATTGTTTATTTACTATATTAATACTGTAATTATCAAAGTTAGTACATATAAAATTGTTGGACGGATTTAGATGAATCCCATAAAGATTATTGAATATAGGTTACTTTTTCGATGATAAAGGACATATTTAACCCGTGCAATGCCAAATATATTTATTACTGTAGTAATTAGTACTGTAGTGTAGTATACTGAAGTGTTTTCGCGGATTTGTTGCTTCAGGATCATACGTACCAAGTGATCTTTATAAATCGGCTGCTAGTTTAGGGATCAGGATAGGTCTTGATGGGAGAGGTATTGTATAGTTTTGGAGGTGTTGTATAATCTTGTATAATTTAAAACACACAAAATCGAATCACAAAACTATAATTCATCGTGTAATACGTTTTTAATGCCTACAAAGTCAAAAGTATGTTTGGTACACATCGAATATAACGGCAGTAATGTTCTAAGCCAGTGGTCGGCAATCTGTGGCTATTTCACTCCTTGGCTACGGCTCTTCTGCGAAATGTTTAGTTTAGGCACGGAATATTACATAGTATCTTTCCTTGTAAAATATGAGTAAACATTTTTGAAACACAAGGCTATAAAGATGTTAGCGTGGTATGGACATGTGATGCGTAGAGAGAAGATGCATGTGACTAGGAGATGTATGGAAATGGTAGTGCAAGGTAGAGGGGGAAGAGGTCGACCGAAGAAGACATGGATGGAGTGTGTGAATGACGATATGAGAGAGAGAGGAGTGAGTGTTGAGATGACGGCTGATAGAAGAGAATGGAAGAGAAAAATTTGCTGTGCCGACCCCACATAGTGGGATAAGGTGGAGAAAAAGAAGGAGAAGGCTATAAAGATGTTAACAAAAATGATTCTTTGAATAAATTTCAATTGTGTGTTAGGTATCTATATTTGGCTCTTTTTGTTGACAAGGTTGCCGAAAACTGTTCTAAATGGAATAGCAGTTGTTTGAGATATTGTAAAATGAAAGTAAGTAAATTTGTTTTCAATGATTTATCTGACAGGACAGTTGTAGCATACGATCGGGAATTGTACTTCGTTTTGTACGATTTCATCGGCTATGGGCTGAATGATTTCGAAGGCCCAGTCCACAATTCCTGGCGTTGATGACGCTCTGTTGTACTGAAAACAATTAGGTACGTTTAAAACAAATTCCTTCTGCAATATAGTTCAGCGGCAGGTGTACAAAGTAAATAGGTAACAAAAAATACTACTAGTATTCAGGTTATGCTGTCAAGGTCTTCAAATCAGTCTTCTTCATAGTCGACGTGGCCTAAAGGATAAGACGTCCGGTGCATTCGTGTTGAAGCGATGCACCGGTGTTCGAATCCCGCAGGCGGGTACCAATTTTTCTAATGAAATACGTACTCAACAAATGTTCACGATTGACTTCCACGGTGAAGGAATAACATCTATCTATCTATATATATAAAAATGAATTGCTGTTCGTTAGTCTCGCTAAAACTCCGGAACCGCTGAACCGATTTGGCTAATTTTGGTCTTGAATTATTTGTGGAAGTCCAGAGAAGGTTTAAAAGGTAGATAAATATGAAAATGCTCGGAACTAAATAAAAATAACAATTTTGTTTTTCCTTTGATGTGTCCCCCGTCGGACGGATTCCTTTTGTTTGTTTTAAGTTTATTTTATACGAAAGTTTAGGTATTTTATTTATCGATTGAGGCACTACGAAGTCTGCCGGATCAAGTAGTTATTTTATTTTAAAACTACAGAGTATTAGGTTTTTTTTATAAATATCTAAAGACATTATTGTTTCCATAACTCAGCTAGTCTAGCTAGTCAGCTAGTATAAAAATAAAAATTAACTAGATTTAACTATCTGCCGGGTCAGCTAGTCGTGTAATAAAAATGAAACCCGCAAAATTATAATTTGCATAATTACTGGTGGTAGGACCACTTGTGAGTCCGCACGGGTAGGTACCACCACCCCGCCTATTTCTGCCGTGAAGCAGTAATGCGTTTCAGTTTGAAGGGTGGAGCAGCCGTTGTAACTATACTTGAGACCTTAGAACTTATATCTCAAGGTGGGAGGCGCATTTATGTTGTAGATGTCTATGGGCTCCAGTAACTACTTAACACCAGGTGGGCTGTGAACTCGTTCACCCACCTAAGCAATAAAAATAAATAAATAAATGATTGCAATCATCATACCACAGTATTCAGAATATCAGTAATGCGGTCTTCGGGCAGGAAGCGCACCAAATTATTGCTATTCGGTACTGAACCAATCACACTCACGCTCAGCTCGTCAATATTTAAATCCTTTTGTACCTAATAATACAGAATAAAGACCGTAAGTTAATAATAAAAGAAAACTTTGAAATAAGGAGAGGTCTTTTCAAAAATATGCGAGTCAAAATAAGTTAAATATAACTGTTGAGGTATTATTGGAAATGAATGTAAATGTATTTAAAGGTCTTCAGTCTTTAAATATGAAATATTATGACATCAGAGAATGTCTTGTGATATTCTTTCTAGCCGTGAATATCAATATGGGTGAGTTTGGTAACCGCTTATTACTAGCCTTGCCCACTAAGTTTGATCCCGTTTCAAAACTCCTCACCCCAACACATACCCCTAATACGGGTTAATGGCGACCGATTTTGAATCTAAATATGAGTCAAGTCAAACTGTAATATCGTTGCTATGATAATAAAATTAAGAAGAAGACTTACCGTAAAGTCGAAATTTACCATTGGATGCCTATAAGTTCCAGAATATCTGTGCTCACCATCCAAGTTAGTCAATATATCAAACCCTACTGTCACATCATGCATCCTCAACCTTCCCCTGACTTCAACCAGCCCTGGGTGTGTACGGTTCCAAAATTGTTGGACAGTCGACTGCATTATGTCCAAATGCTGTACGGAGACCAGGAAACCGTTGGCGTACTTAACTGTTCCTTTTGTTTCTTGTCCGAAAATGACCTCACTGCGAATTTAAGATTGGGTCATAAACAAAAGTGATACTAAAATTCATGAAATAAGAGCCATCTTTGGTATTTTTGTCTTATAATTTAGTTAATCTGTACAGTTAATTGTTTGGTATATTATTAGGTCACATAATGTATTACCACCTGATATATTACGATTTCGTATAACATATAGTTTTCTTGGCTTTCAATAAATAAAGCTACACCATAGTCCTGAGTTTTTCAATTATAAGGTGTGACAAAGTAAATTGGAAATATGACGGCATCAGAGGCATGATCCTGATTGTAAGGTTAGCTCGAAGTTTGATCTATTACCTGATGATGATTGTCTTGCGGCAGAAGTAAGCATCTTGTTAGCTCAATAAACCGAACTTATCATAATCAATATTAGTAATACACATGATGAATTAGGGGAAAAGTTTGGCAGGAAAATAAAATTAGCATTTTTTATTTATACTAGTTTGTTTCACTGATTGTAAACTAACATATTATTGCTTAAATCGTTAGCAATTCATTTCTATTTCTCCCAGTGTTATTGGAGATCGCGTTAAGAATGTTCGGGTCAGTTAGATGCTACAAAAGGGCATCCGTGTTCTAAGAAATAAAAAAAAAATCGCGGATAATTCTTAAAATACCCACTTTATTTCCTGAACGACGTCAGGCAGTTTGAAATTACACCATTCCCTGTTTTCAAATTCTTCTACTGTCTTCTGTATTACTGTTATCATATAATCTGCGTGGTCGACCAATCTCACGTTGTTTACTGAAATAATGATAGTACCTTCTGAGTGATTAGCCGTACATGGTCGAACATTAAATGATGTATATAATAACACCGAAGCGTCTGTTCTGAAATTAACGTCCACCTTATTACCCGGGCGCTACGATATGCCCTTCTTCAAACCAGGCTGGCGGAGAGCCCTCAAGAGAAGGCAGCAATCTGACTGGTCTTAGGTCTCAACTTTTAAGCTATTGCATAGCTTTTGACCGAATCAAGAAATTACGTAACGAAAATAAAACCTAACACCCCCACTCCGCCTACAATATAGCTCGCGTGCAACACATTCACACGTTGCGCTTGTGTAGTGTTTGTGAATAAGCACGCGGCGTGACGGCGCACTGCATGCGCATCATGAAAAATTTTTTTTATTTTTTTTTATTGCTTAGATGGATGGACGAGCTCACAGCCCACCTGATGTTAAGTGGTCATCGGAGCCCATAGACATCTACAACGTAAATGCGCCACCCACCTCGAGATATAAGTTCTAAGGTCTCACTATAGTTACAACGGCTACCCCACCCTTCGAACCGAAACGCATTACTGCTTCACGGCGGAAAAAGGCGGGGTGGTGGTACCTACCCGTGCGGACTCTCAAGAGGTCCTACCACCAGTCTGCGCATCTCTCTCTCGCGCGGACTAGCTTATGAGTGTGAAGGGGACAGTTAATGTTTTGCTTTTGTTAATGTTTATAAATAAAGCGTGGTCTTATTTTATTATTGTTTTAATATTAAATTATTATTATCTAATTATAATTGTATAAGTTGATAAAAAATGCTATGCAATAGCTTTAGCGCGGCAGTCCCCGAGTGCCACACGTATTTTTTTCAGTACTCTAGTAGTAGCTACCCCACTCTTCAAACCGAAACGCATTACTGCTTCACGGCAGAAATTAAATGTGACAATATTTCATTAAGTAGCCCGTGTGCTCGTATATGGGCAACAACAAAATATGGTAATGCGTTCTATTGGTACTGTGAGTCCACTCGGGTAGGTAATGCTTGTCGAATCTCGCAGGTAGGTACATTTTTTTCTTCTGGCTGAGCCTTTGCTCGCCCACCTGTCCTGGTGAAACTGGAATGGCCTCTGGGCCACCAGTAATCTTTCAAACATAAAAAAAACTAATGAAATAGGTTTTTTTAATGCTTAGATGGGTGGACGAGCTCACAGCCCACCTGGTGTTAAGTGGTTACCGGAGCCCATAGACATCTACAACGTAAATGCGCCACCCACCTTGAAAAACCTAGCAAATATTCGCGATTGACTTTCACGGTGAAGGAATAACATCGTGTAATAAAAATCAAACCGCAAAATTATAATTTGCGTAACTATTGGTGGTAGGGCGTCTTGTGAGCCCGCCATCACTCTGCCTATTTCTGCCGTGAAGCCGTTATGCGTTTTGGTTTTAAGGATGGAGAAACTGATGCACTTTAAAACTGTCTCATTTGAGACTCAGATATTTTTTATATATTAAACAAATGAACATGAACAGATTTTTTTATGACATGGTTTGATTGTATATTAATTGATTGGAAATTGTAATCAACGTATGGAATCGATTTAAACAAACATTTCAACATTGCGTAAATAATTATTCAGACTTACTTTGACCGTCAACACTAATATTGTTCAGAGCAAATATCACCAATAATAAATTAGAAATATTTAACTTGAACATTTTATCACATCGATCACGAAGAGAATAGAGATTTATAATGTAGGCAAAATTGGTAGGAGAATGTTATCAAACAATAACTTTTCGACAAAGATAAGATACGTAATGATTATTTTATGTACGTTTTTATTTATTTTTTATTTACTTCTTATGTAGAGTAGACGTACTAATTTAAAGGAACACATATAAAATCATATACATATATCACATATATCACATATATCTCACGATTAGGGATTCAGTGGAATAAAAATAACAAGTAATATAAGTTTTGGTTTAAATTATGAAAATATTTTTATTTTGGTTAAAATGTTTTATCTGCTTATACATGTATAATAACATGAAAATTTCATAAAAAAAATTATTGTCATACTGATATGTTATTTAAATCACCATAAATTGTAATGCTTAGATGCTGTTAAATTGTTACTGGAGCCCATGGACATCTACGACGTAAATGCCGCCATGCCCCCTTGAGATATGAGTTCTAAGGTCTCAGTATAGTAACAACGGCTGCCCTACCCTTCAAACCGAAACGCTTTACTGCTTCACGGCAGAAACAGGCAGGGTGGTGGTACCTACCCGTGCGGACTTACAAGAGGTCCTACCACCAGTAAAATGTTCTTTGTACCAGAATGTTCTTTGAAAAAATTAAGATAAGTAGAGTAAGCCTTTAAGATTTTTTTTTTTTTATAAAATTTTACTTGATGATTTGTAAATTTTAGGTAAAATGTATTCCACTATAAACTCACCAGAATGTGACTTGTGATTTTCAGCTCTATGTCAGGTCGGTGACCTCTCGGTACAAGAATTCAATTAGCGATTTTACAGCGCCAAAACATCAACCGAGCACAAATAATTAGCATTAATCTGAAACGCTAGACTAATCTCATTATTGTCTTTCCTAACTCACTAAATTCCCCGAATTCCACCTCAGACATTCCTAAGTCTCCTAAACCACGTGGATCGACCTGTCAACTTCTTCAGTGCCCAGTGACAGTTATATGGACTGGACACCTGTCAAAATGTGTCAATTGACCGACCTCTGTCAAGGTAGGGGTCGTATTGGATCTTTCTGGGTGCAGTCCAAATGCTTAGGCTTAGCGGGTACATTTTTTTTTAATGCTTAGATGGGTGAACGAGCCCACCTGGTGTTAAGTGGTTACTGGAGCCCATAGACATCTACAACGTAAATGCGCCACCCACCTTGATATATAAGTTCTACGAGGGCTGCACTAAAAGTATCGGGAATGGAATATTTCCACTGTTCCTGTCATATTAAATTCTTTTTAATTGAAAACTCCTTGGTTTTAAAAATCGAATACCATTTATTTATTTAAAAAAAGATTCTCGGTCTTGTCACGAGGTTTTGTCAAACTTGTTTAGTCTTTGAGAAAATGGAATTGACTCGAGAAAATTCAAGAGCGATGATTTATTATGACTTTCGAAGTGGTTTAACACAAAAACAGTGTATTGACCGGATGATTTCTGCATTTGGTGATGAAACCCCATCCAAAACCACAATTTATCGCTGGTTTGCTGAGTTTCAACGTGGACGTGTCAAGCTCAGTGATGATCCCCGTCAAGGTCGTCCAAAAACTGCAGTCATCCAAGAAAACGTTGATGCTGTGCGTAAGCTGATTGAGGAAGATCGACATGTGACATACCGCGAAATTCAGGCAACTTTAGACATTGGTATGAGTCAAATACAAATAATCTTGCATGAATAATTAGGTGTAAAAATGTTGTTTTCCCGACGGATACCGCATTCGCTCTGTGAAGAGCAAAAAGCGGCTCGCGTTACTTGGTGCGTCAGAACTCTCGAAAGATTCCACGCAGGATCCTCAAATGCTGTATACAACATTGTATCAGGTGACGAATCCTGGATATACGCGTACGAACCCGAAACAAAAAACCAGTCACGAGTTTGGGTGTTCGAAAATGAGTTAAAGCCAACAAAAATTGTTCGTTCACGGAGTGTTGCAAAAAAAATGGTGGCCACGTTTGTCTCCAAAACCGGCCATGTTACGACTATTCCTCTTGAGGGACAAAGAACGGTTAATGCAGAATGGTATGCTAGCATTTGTTTGCCACAGGTCGTTTCTGAACTCCGTAAAGAGAACTGCAACCGCCGCATCATCCTCCATCACGACAATGCGAGTTCTCACACCGCGCACAGAACAACAGAGTTTTTAGAGCAAGAAAACATAGAATTATTAGACCATCCGCCGTACAGCCCCGACCTAAGCTCTAATGATTTCTATACTTTCCCTAAAATAAAGAATAAATTGCGTGGACAGAGATTTTCATCACCTGAAGAAGCTGTGGACGCCTACAAAACGACCATTTTGGAGACCCCAACTTCCGAATGGAATGGTTGCTTCAATGATTGGTTCCATCGTATGGAAAAATGTGTCAAATTTCGCGGAGAATACTTCGAAAAGCAATAAATACATTTTTAAATAGTAATGTTGTGTCACTTCGTTAATTCCCGAAATTTTCAATGCCGCCTAGGTAAGGTCTCCAGTATAGTTACAACGGTTGCCCCACCCTTCAAACCGATTTATTATATTAAACACTAGCTGACCCGGCAGACTTCATAGTGCCTCAATCGATAAATAAAAGACCTAAACTTTTGTATAAAATAAACTTAACACAAACAAAAGGTATCCGTTCAACGGGGGACATATAAAAGGGGGTAGACGTTTTCTGGAGTTGAAACCGCGAACCGGCAAACGTAGCGTAGGACGCCCTCCTGCTAGATAGAGCGACGACCTGCGCAAGGCAGCTGGCAGTAACTGGATGCGTAGAACTGAAGATCGGGTTCAGTGGCGAGCTTTGGGGGAGGTCTTGGTCCATCAGTAGACTGCCGCATCAGTGGACTGATGATAATGATGAATGTCTATTGTAAGCTAAGCACATATGACTACTACTTTGTTTCTTATGAGGTCGAAGTTTCAATATCTTCTTCTTCTTTATATATAAAAATGAATTGCTGTTCGTTAGTCTCGCTAAAACTCAAGAACGGCTTGACCGATTTGGCTAATTTTGGTCATGAATTATTTGTGGAAGTCCAGAGAAGGTTTAAAAGGTAGATAAATATGAAAATGCTCGGAATTATATAAAAATAACAATTTTGTTTTTCCTTTGATGTGTCCCTCGTCGGACAGATTCCTTTTGTTTGTTGTAAGTTTATTTTATACAAATTTTTAGGTCTTTTATTTATCGATTGAGGCACTACGAAGTCTGCCGGGTCAACTAGTTTTTTTATAAAAGTGCTGCATCACCCATCGAACCGAAATTTATTGTTATGTTGCTACAAGTAACGCCATCTCTCGTCAAATAGCAAAAACGAATATCTAATTAACTATAACATCTCTTGAATGTTCTGGAAAGTTGTAGACACAGTCGAAACGACTATAAAATCGTGGCATAGACGACATGAATCAGTTTTCTTCGAAGTGAAGCACCGTTTGAATCACCTGAAGCGAAGCGAAAAAAGTAAATTATTATAGTCTAGTTATTAAATTGAATTTGAATTTGCACTTCGATTTACAGTTTAATTCAAACCTTAAAAATGGTTATAATTTATGTATGCAACTCGCAAAAGCCAAAGTCGAATGCATTACGTGTGTGTGACATTGTCGATTTCGTCATTAAGAACTATGTAGAAAATGTCGGACATACATAATAGAAATTCTAGGAACAAACACAAGCTTGTTATGCCGATGAGTAGGTTACATAAGACACGAAATTCATTCGGGTGTTTGTCTGTGCGCCTGTACAACAAAATCCCACAAGATGTTCAGAACCTACATATACATAGGATTAAGAAAACTATTAAAGAACATCTGTGCAATAAAGCTTACTTACTATAAAGTCAATGATTATCTAGAAGATTGCACAAAGTGGGAATAATTTGCTCGCTCCGGGCATTTCAATATTGTAATAATTGTTATGTTATAATACTCATGTAAAAATGAATACATATTTAAAAAAAATCTAATATAAAAAAAATAATCTAATATTTAATATTAAAAAAAAAGACATGCCCGCTGAGTTTCTTGCCAATTCTTCTCAGGACGGAGGCTAATTCTTGTGAATTGGCGGTAGTTCTTTTGACGTTCAACAAGTATGTACTTTCATTTATGTTGAATAAAAAATTTTTGATTTGATTTGATTTGTGTTTAAATTGATTAATTGTGATTATGTGCGCGGACTCAATTCACGAGCGATTATTAATTCACGCTCGTATCATAAGCTAATTCTTCAGTCATAACATAACGTTTTTGATTAGGTAATAGAAAAGGGAACAGGGATCTTGAGCGAGATAATAGATACTCTGATAAAGCTTATGCATTGCACCAAGCCGTGTCCAACACCTGAGACACCAGGAATACTAATGAAGTTTTTGTTGACCCTCACGGATTTTAGGGCTGGATTTATATTCGGCCTACACGAAAATTAAATATGAAATAGAAACTGTGTAATATAAAAGGATAAGAAAGGAGTTTTCCTAGAATTCAGATATTTACTGAGACGGGCGATTATTTAGTGCAAAAAAAACGACAGTAATTACCAAATGTTTTTTAAGAGGTATTTTGTCTCTTTTGACTGTATTTCTGAACGTTTTGTCTTCATTTATCAAATTAGTTTTTGCCCGATGATTGAAATTCGACTATACTTGTCTGGTCGGATCCCCCGGATCCACTCACGGTTCTTTTACGATCTTTAAGCACCGGGCACCATCCTTGTCGTTGATTCCGACGGAGAATTCGACGAGCGAATTAACCTATAGACACAACCCTTCTTGCCGGATCTTCTCAGTGGGTCGCGATGCGGCGGTAGATTCTACGAGGTACTGTTCTTGCTAGGGCTAGTGTTAGCAATTTCTCACAAGTTGAGCCCGTGAGCTATCTATCCGCCGGGCGTAGCTGGAATAGCTTTGGGCTACCAGCGGAAAAAAAAACAAGTCCGAACAACAAAATTCGGACCAATCACCG